CAACAAAATGGGATTTCCAAGAATATTAAAAATAAAGAAGCATCTCTTGGTCTAACACCCTCCCAAATGGGATTTTTCAATAATTTCCCCATATATAAAATAAGGGCAAATTACATTTACCCCCTCGAGGTTTGGCTAAATTACATATACCCCTGAGGTTTGAGAAATTACAAATTCCCCCTAAATGTTATATTTACATAACAAATTATGGGATAATTTGTTATGAAATTTAAACCTCATGGAGCAAATTGTTATGAAAATACAAATCTTAGAGGGCGGGATGTAATTTTCGAAACCTCAGGTGGTATCTGTAATTTAGCCAAATCTCGAGGCAGGTATATGTAATTTGCCCATTAAATAAAAATGACAAAATAAATTTTTATTTATTAAATGATGAAATACAAAATAAACGACACAACTAGATACAAAAATAAATTAGATTACATTACTGAAAAAACAAATTATTAACATGGATAACTAAAGATTAGAACTCATTGAAATAAACTAAATTCTTAAAAATTAAATAATAAATAATAAGCAAAGAAGCAAATCGAAACCTGTGTGATACCACAGTTTCCTTAAAATAGACTCACCGGCTCTCGATGGGTGTTGGAGGTATGTCGGCGTCTGCTTCCCAAGATACGACAGTCAAAACCAGCTAATGCAGAAGCACCTTCTGAATAACTTCGACGAACTTGACAACGGCTTCACTCTCTCTAATAAGAACCAAATAAGGGGGTAGCAAAAAAAGATAAGAATTTTTTTTTTTTTTTTTTTGTATAAAATAAACATCTCCAACTTTTTATCTGAAAAGACCATCTCAATTTTTTATCAAAAATTTCTCTAAAATTCTTCTTCCAAGTTGGAAGGAAAAGGCCTCTATTTATACAAGTAGGAGAATCTCTAGCCATGAATGCTATACATCAATAGGGCCATCAAATGCCATTAACGAAAGCCATTAACTCTAGCCATTAGGGCTAGAGTTACAAAGGTTGAAAACCTATGGCCACTAATATCGTCATTAACTCTATCATCAAAAGATGAAAGTTACAAAGGTCTAAACCTCCTATGTGTTTAATATGTACAAATAAATATGTATATAATGATGTTTGAATAAACCAACTAGATGGGTCACAAAATGTATACTAATGTTGGATCACAACTCGATTCAAACCCAATTCACAAACACATGCACAAGCTAAGCCCACACAACATAGCTTAGCCCAAACTTATGATTAAGTCCAAGTCCAAGTCCAAGACTAAACCTAACACATGCACAAGAACAAGCACAAGCACAAGTCAACGGTAAATCAAGACTAAGTCTAAATCTAAGCCAAACTTTATTCATAACTCAATGGTTTCGGCTCATTATTTTTATATTGTAATATTCTCACTTGAGAGAATACAAAATCACTCAGACTTACCTCAACTAGCAGTTGGGTCCCACTTTAATTTTGAATTAAAGTTGTCAAAAAATCATTATTTTTCAATATTTATATATATTGGTTATTTGATTGATCATTCGGACAGATTTCAATTGATATATCGAATGACAAGAATAATAGTCACAATTGACTAGAGTTACGCCAATCGTTCGGTCATGTCATTTGGGCGGAATTGAGCTATCGTTATTTTAGTGGACTAAGCATTTTTGTTTATTCCATATGTAAATGGGTAGATTATACGCCTGAACAAGTATCCATTTCACCCGTCAAAATTAAATAGTTTAAATTAATCACATAATGAACAGTTTTAATAATACAAGTAAATAGATGAAAATATACTTTTTCAATCCATCTAAATTAAGACAGATGACAAATTGAACGTCACATAACCTAACCCAATCCACCCACACTCTTAGCCTTCGTTTGGGAAGTATGTTGATTTTTTGATTTTTTGACTATTTTAATCAGGTTTAAAAGTTCACATTTGGAATGAGTTTTTTTGACTTTTTTGACTTTTGTGAGAGAAAATAAAATAATTATAGTTTGGATGTGACATTTTATCTTGTTAACTTTTTAGTCTATTTTATCTTCTTATAACTAAAATAGCTCCAACCTCACATGTCAAACATTAATAAAATGATGTTATGTTTTTATATTTTGTGTTAAAAAAATGATATTTTATTTAGTAATTATTTGTTATTTATAAAATATAAAAGGGTAAATTACAAATACACCTCTTGAGATTAGCTTAAAATACAGGATGCCCTCTGTGATTTGAAAAATTACAAATACCCCATTATTAGAATTTTTTATTTAAAAAAATTAAAAAAATAAAATTCATTATTGCTCCTAAAAATAATAAAATTACCTAAATTATTAATTGAAACATATTTTTAACATCATTAAAAACTGCTAATTGACTTGATGATTTATTAATAAAAGGGACGATTTGTTATGAAATTAAAAACTCAGGAGGTGGAATTTAATTTTCAAACCCTCAAGGAGCGATTCGTATTTTAATCTTATCTCAAGGAGTGTATTTGTAATTTACCCAATATAAAAAGATGGGTCTTTATTTTCATTATAAAAAAATAAATCGAACCTAAATTAATAAAGAATTACTGAAAAATAGCTCAAAAAAATGTCTAAACACTGCATGGCCAATTCAATCCGCATGTACTAACTGAGCGGATAGATGTAGATTGATAGACAAATAGTGAATGAGAGACCACTCAAACACTATATTAGGTTATATTAATATTTGTGTATTACATAACTAAATAAATAATTACTTTTGTAATCTGTTAACAATAAACTTTTAAAATTTAAATAGTAGTTATTAGTAATTCTTATTATTTTGTATAATAATAATAGGGACCCCACACCTATATGCAAGTGTTTGATAAATTTTTTTTATGTCCCTAACATTTTCCTATTTTGAATATTAAATTTTAAATGGTTATGGGATTATGAATGGATATGAAGAGTATCTTAGGAATAAAAAATTATACTTGACAAATAGAAATGTAAACATTTATAAAATATTTGTGTATTATATTAATAAATAAAAAATTATAATCTAAGCAGTAGATATTAGCCATTATTATTTTATGATTTAAATTTTAAGTGACTACGAAATTATGAGTGTATTTTTAAAAATGATGAAGGGTATTTTATGGGTAGAGAATTCACTTGACATACAATGAAATAAAAGATTCAAGACTCAAACTCTAATTTTTATTTTATCTATAATTGTTTTTAAAACTCCATGAGAAACATGAAGTAAAGTTGCACCAAGCCAAACACACCCCTCTCCCTTTAACTCCATATAGTCAACCCAAGTCAAACATTCTTCTATGTTCTCCTCTCACTATATTAGATTGGTCCCATCTTGTCTATGTCCATAAACTAACCATATTGATGCCACCCCACCCAAATTTACCCAACTTCCACATAATCCTCAAATCCCTAACATGTTTTTGACTATTTGCCCACTTTTGTCCTAGTCTCACACACACATACAAGTATGTTGTGTATATATATAAATATAAATTCAACACGTGATAAAGTAAGAAAAAAGGATGCAATATTATAGGAAAAAGGAAATGATGATTTTTCTAATCTTTTTATAATTTTTGAAATTTGGTAAATTTATGAATATTAAGTTTAAAAATACTTTAAAATTTGGAGGAATGTAAGAAATGGGGCACAAAAACTGTAGATCGGCGAGAATATTTTTTAGTGCAAGATTAAAGTTGCATTATTTACTTGATTTTTAGAAATAAAATTTTAAATTAAAATAATTTTAAACTCATTTCTTGTGTAAAGTGGCGTTTTAAGTTAAAAAAAAAAATCAAAATTTGTTTTAATAAAGTAATTAAAAATAATGTTTCTAATACATGATTGCGTGCAATTTTAAAAATTAATTAATGAATAATAGGAAAACTTGTCATTTTATATTTTAATATTTGTTCAATTTATCATTAATTTGTAAATATTTTCTTAATCTATCACTGATAAATAATATTCCTTTTTAAAATTATTGAAATTGTGAAACAAAATTTGTATTATGTTTTTAATTGATGGGAGATAAATCACTATGTTTGGTTTTAAAAAATTGAGGTTTTTTTTTTCCTATTTTTTAATTTTTAGTAATTTTTTTTAATGTTTTACATATATTTTTTATTTTTTAAATACATCCAATCTAAACATTCTTGAAAAATATAAAATTTATGAAAAAATATTAAAAAAATACGAAAATTCAATATAATTTTCGTATTTTGTTGTATTTAATAAATTTTTTTCACTCACTATGTTATTTTTATAAAAAAAATTAAGCAGAGTATTGTAAAAATATTCTATTTATCCTCGTAATTATATTATATTAGGATGTTATGCAAGAAATAATGCAATTCTAATTTCGTAAAAGGAGTAATATGTGACTTGGAGTATTTGACACTTCAAAATTAATTACGAAGTATCCGATAATATGTGACTTGGAGCATCCGATACTTCAAAATTAAAGTATCCGATACTTCAAAATTAATGAAAAATTAATTAAGAAGTATCCGATACGTATCCATAAGTATCTAAGGAGTATCGGTATCCGATACGGATACGTCTTCGTATTTGAAGTATCCGTGCTTTATAGATTGTTGTTATTAGCTGGTAATGCAACTATTATTATTATTGTTATTGCTTTTGGGTGGTTTTTTGAATTTTTTCTTCTAATTTTTAAGTCGTTTCAACTTTTTATTTTTTTGTATTCAATTTTTTACCATTTTCAGCTTTTGTAGGGTGTTTTTTGAGTTTTTTTTGCTATAGTTTTTAAGTTGTTTTCTATATTAATTCAAATAATCTTTATTGTTTATTTTGGGTGTTTTCTATTTTTTTGTTCTTTGTCTTTCAATTTTTTTGCATGTACATCTTATTTTGGCAATCCTTGGTTTTTTTGCTTTTACTTGTTTTATGTATGTTTTTTTATTTTTTTTTTTTTTGTTCCCCCCCCCCCCCCCCCTTTTTGCTGAATTGGGATGGGATTTGTTTGATTTCGTGGAATTTTGTGTGTTTGGAATGCTTGAACACTATCTCGAGCTTTGAAATTTAGAGTTTTTGGCAACGCTGATGTGTTTCTATGATATGTGGCTTATCATTGATTTGCAATGGCCTTTACTGTTAGTTTTTCTAGTTATTGGGTTGAATATGGTCTATGTTTACTTGCAACTAACAGGATTGGAGTTTACGAGTTATTGTGGTTGAATTGAACAGCTTGAGGCTTGTTTTAACTTTTGCGTACTGTAGATTTTGTTGATTTTTTTTTAAAATTATTTTAATCGACAGGTTGGTGACAAACATATAAAAATGTTTGAATTTCAGTGTTTTCCTGGCTTAAACACTTCATGGATTTTGGATTGTTGCATTTTTTTTCCTTCCGGAAATACATAGATAATCTCGATGTTGTAAGTATTTTCACCGTTTGTTCTGTTTATTATTGGGTGTAAAACTCTCAGTTTTGTAGCAGGGTTTCTTAATTGAATATGCTAATTTACTGAATTACTGATTCTGACAAAAAGGTTTGTGGAATTAATTATTTGAAACTCATTCTTTCCTTGGGTATTGTTGATTTCAAATTTTATCTTTTTCTCATTCAGGCTATCACAGGTTACAGCTTCAGAAGTGGTTGATTTAGACACTAAAACAAGCTGTTGAGGGAAAACCCTTGGCACTTATGCATCTTTGCAACTGGTTTTGAAAATGGCGGGAAATGCGAGATTTGAGTCAACCTCAGGCAGTCCAGAACTGGGGTTTGTCGGCAACTATCCAAACGGACCAAGAGGGAGTTACCCTGGTCTGAGTTTGGACAGGTCTGGAAGCTTTCGAGAGGGTGGTGAAAGTCGGGTGTTTGGTTCTGGGACCGGTATATCTCGGGCAAGTGGAGGGAATTTACCTCCCTTGTCACAATGTCTGATGTTAGAGCCTATTATAATGGGTGATCAAAAGTATACACGGTCAGGTGAACTAGAACTAAGGAGGGTTCTGAACATTTCTGTTGGGAGTGCCTCGGAAGAAAATTCTTTTGGAGTTGCTCATTCTAGGCCTACACCTCTGGTGGCCACGGAGGAACTAAAGCGTTACAAAGAAAGTATCTTAGATGCCAATAACAAGGCCAGGTATTTTATTTTATTATGTTATATTCTTTCTGATGTACAAACTTGATAATTAAATTGACTTTGATCTGCTATATGCAATTTTTTCTATTGAGATCTTATAATTCTTTTGTCAGTTAACATACTTCTAAGCTGTGATTTGTCCTTCACTATCACTCAGTCTTGTCTGTATTTTCCCTTGACAAAAAGCAAGACATACTTTGTTGTTATTGGTGCCTTGGACACAGAGTGGATCTCTTATGTAAAGGGGAAACCTAGATTATAGTTGGTTGGCGATTTCCTGATATTGCAACTTACTTGATAAAGATTTGACTTTTTGGCCAGGGGTAGAGGGAAAAAATTAGATCAACATTTGCTTAAATTGAACAAGTATTTTGAAGCTGTGAACTCCAAGAAGCAGCAAAGGAATGAGTTTTCAACAAATGAACGATCAGGTGGATTGAACTTGAAGATGGGAACCCAGATCCATCGAAACCCTCCAGATCTTGCTGCTCAAAGAATTACGGATCGGGCTAAGAATGCTGTTCTTAATAAGCGTGTACGAACATCAGTGGCAGAAACACAGGTATGTGATTGATATAATATAGCATTAATACTGCATGCTGCTTTTACGAACACTCATCGAACTTCTAAATTTGTCACTGATGCATTCAAAAATTTATTTTATTTTTTTCATGTTATGTAGTCTGACCTTTGTTGCTTGGACCATATTTGATACCTTGATTATTGTTTCACATTAGACGTTTTAGTTGACAGAGATATTAAACAATGATTTTGGTGTTTCTCATACATCTTGATATTCATTCATTTTAGTATGCAAGCTGAAATTCATTTAGGAGATTCTATCATATTCACTATAGTGGATATCAAATAAGATTATTTATAGGAATCCTTAAAATGCTTTTTTCTTGTTCAAGCATTTGGGAAAGCTAATAAAGTCATTGCATAATATATATATATATATATATAATGTAGCGAACAGCAAACTCACCTATGTAAAAGGTGATAAGTGTTGAATTCTTATCTCACAGCCTAGTGTCCATTTTTGCTCAAATTTTGTGCACCATGTTTTTATTATTTTCCAAAGGTATCATTAGTTTTAGGTACATCAAGTTGATTATTGCAATTTATTAGTTTGTTATTGTCCCAATTATTGTTTCAGGCAGAATTCCGGAGTAATGGGTTAGCAAGGCAGCCTTTGGTCATGGCAAAAGATCGTGATATGCTTAAGGATATTAGTCCTGGCTCTGATCTTGTTGAAGAAAAGATTCGCAGACTGCCTGCTGGAGCGGAAGGGTGGGACAAAAAAATGAAAAGAAAACGTTCAGTAGGCACAGCTTTCACAAGACCTGTAGATAGTGATGGAGAATTGAAGCGACCTATGCATCATAAGGTTAGCAATGAATCTGGCTTGCAATCTTGTGATGCCCATAATTTCAGGTAATATTTCTTATTACGAGACAATCTCATGTTCTGTTGCTGCTGGTGTAGGGCTTTTACCTCTCCATTTGATGGTTGATCTTGACATTTGATTTTCGGATAAATGGTGCTAATTAATTTTGAAAAGAATATGGAACCTTATTGTAGAGAAAACATCATTTTCTTATTGTTTTGAAGAAAATAAGTATTCCATTTTCAGATCAATTGCTTCAAGGTCGAATGCTTCTTAGATGGATTTAGACTTTATGGCATAGCTAGCTTAGCTAGTAAAGTTCTTGGTGTGGTATTAGAGATGTGGGATAAAATCTTGCTTTCCCTCGGATTAGGAGTTATGGGTAGGGTTGTAGAGGGAGGGCTACTTTGTGTGTAGTCCATCACCATTGGACCAAAAAAAAGTTTAGTTGAATCTTTTTATTATTAGGCATTATGAATGTTTGTATTTGTCATGTTCATTTGTTTGGACTTGGCTCCATCAGGGATGAATTTCTACATGATTACCTGCACTTTTGTTTACACATTGCATGCATGCTTTTTTGGGACCTGTTATCTTGCTTTTATTTCGAATAATCTATTCTGTATTCACCTATTGGTTATTCATGTTTTTTACATTGCTCAAAAAATTCTAAATAATTGTCATGTTCTTGAAACTTCACATCACAGATCAGGATCTACTAATGGTAATAGTGGCACTAACAAGTCAGATAGCAGTTCTTCGCCTGCTACTTCGTTTGCTCGCACAATGCCCAAGCATGAACAGGAAAAGGCCACTATTACAAGGGATCTGACAGCTGGATTGAATAAGGAAAAACTTCTTGCAAAGGGAAACAATAAGTATGTATTTTAAATATTTAGAATTATGATTGCCCAATCAGTGTAGGACCTGGTCAGTATCTGACTCGTTTTAGTTAAACTGCATTTACTTTTTTGGTTACTTGGATGATATGATATCATGTCCCAATATCATAATTTTTTTTTTTGATGGTTTATGCAATTATATCCCATTTTCTAGGTTAAATATCCGGGAGGACAATCACATTGTCAGTCCTAGTCCAGTGACAAAAGGAAAGGCTTCCAGGGCTCCGCGAACAGGCTCTGTAACGGCTGCAAACTCATCTCCTAATATTCCCCGTGTATCTGGAGCACCTGAGAGCTGGGGACAGCCTTCAAATGTGAACAAAATTCATTCAATTGGTGGGGCTAACAATCGCAAGCGTGCTATGCCCTCTGGATCATCTTCCCCATCCATGGCTCAGTGGGTTGGTCAGAGACCACCAAAAATGTCTCGCACCAGGAGAGCTAATCTGGTGTCTCCAGTCTCAAGCCATGAGGAAACGCAGATATCGTCTGAAGGATGTTCTCCTTCTGATTTTGGTAGTAGAATAAATTCTAGTGGAACCAATGGTTTGGTTTTCCCAAGGGGGGTGGCTAATGGCGCCCAGAAGTTTAAAGTGAAACTTGAAAATTTATCATCCCCTGCCAGATTTTCTGAAAGTGAGGAATCTGGTGCAGGTGAAAATAGATTGAAGGAGAAAGCTATGGGTAGTGAAGAAGTGGAGGAAAAAGCTGTTACTGCTGTTCAGAATGCTGGCACTTCTGTATTTCTTTCAAAGAAGAGTAAATCACTTATTAAGGAAGAAATTAGTGATGGTGTGCGGAGACCAGGGCGGAGTGGAAGGGGCTCTTCATTTTCTATGGCTAGTATTTCACCAGTAAGGGAGATGCTGGAGAATGCAGCCACAACTAAGCCACTTCGAAGTACGAGGCCTGGCTCTGATAAGAATGGAAGGTGCTGAGTTCCCCCCCCAAGACGATGAAATTTAAATTCCAATTGTACCTTTTATTGTGGCTTTCAATGCTGATAAGTATTTATTATTATTTGCAGTAAGACAGGCCGTCCTTTGAAAAAGCTGTTAGATCGCAAAGGCTTTTCTCGTCGTGGGCATATGTTAAGTAGTGATTCACCAGATTTCACAGGTATGATTTCACTATGATCTATCATATATGAACCTATATGTTTTCTGCGGGTGGTTATTCTCTATTCCATTATTATGGAAAGTTTGTTGACTTTTATTTAATAGATTTCAGAGAGAAAGGTATTTTAGAATGCATAGTTCCTATATTGCTTCCCCCTGCCCACTATAGTTTTTGTTTATTTTAAATGCATGAATATGACTATTTTTTGCATATGATATTCCAGGGGAATCAGATGATGATCGTGAAGAACTTTTGGAAGCTGCAAATTTGGCCCGTAATGCTAGTTGTACGGACTGAAATCAACTTTGTTTTGCCATTTTTAGCAGTAGTTTTTATTGTCTCTTATATGAGAATATTTTTTTATTAGGATTTTGCTTGCTTCTGCAGATCGTGCTTGTTCTAATTTATTCTGGAAGAAAATCGAGCCAATTTTTGCTCCTGTCAGCTTAAATGACATGTCCTACTTTTCCCAACAGGTGGTAGCCTGAATCTGTAATAATAACTGTGCTTTGTTTATTTATTTATTTTTGTTATTTGAATGTTAATCTCTAGTTCATATTTGACTTGAGGGCTCTTTGGATGTATAATGGTAGTAAAGTATTCCCTTTTGTTTCCTCTGGCAGATTAGGAACTAGTTAAATTTGGAGCAACTAGTTATATTATATATATGAAATCTAATAAATATAGAAAACCATATAATTTGTGTGTGTCTTCCATGTGTCATGTCGGCTTGTCCATGTCGTGTCACATATCCGTGTCCATATTACCTCCAAGCTATAGTTTCTTTGGGTACAAAATGAGATTTTATGTTCCTTTTACTTATCTATTCCTTTCAGTCTTTGGTTCCCCCTGTATGGCCTTTGATTTGCGTCAAATCATACTGTCGCTGGTGCTGTTGTCTGTCTACTTGATCATTTTTTCCACCTCAATGATGTTTTGTTTATTTACTCATATTTAGCATATTGTTTGTCCTCCTTTTGAACTCGCAAGCATCTAATGTGTTTACAGTGAAAAATACAAGTTCCCGAAAGTAACCTTTAATTTAAAGATCGCAAATTGTAATATTGTGGGTAACATTTTTAAACAACTACTCCAAAAGTATATTTTAGTAATGTTCCAAATCTTTCCTGTTGACTTTTCAAAATGCCCTAAAGTTTTGACACATTCTGAAAAGGAAGATGGATGAAAATTCTGGATAGATGTGTATCACGTAATCTAGTTGGATGAACTTTGAGAATGCGCTCCTTTTTATTTTCATCTTTTCTTGCTCCCTTCTCTCCTTTTCAATCATCTTAGCATTTGTGTTTGTCTTGGTTCATAATCTTTAATCTCTTTTATTGCATGTCTTGGTGTTCACAGCTTTTTCTTGAATTTTCATTGCCTTGAATGAATTACTTTTTATTCATTGCAAAAAAGGAAGACAGAAAGGAACATGTTGTCAACATCCTCTCTGAACCATGTACTAGAAAGCTATCTTCTTATTAGCATTAGTCATCAAAACTGAAAGCAACTATAATATTTTGGTTGGAAGTAGTTGGTCTAAATTTGTGTATGGTTCATGGATCTGTTCATCCAGTAGTTCTCACATTCTTTTGCTTTTGCAGGGTGATATTGTGCATGAAGAAATTTCTGCATCTGATAAAATGGGTTCTGGAGAAATAGATAGAAGCCTGCAAACTCAGATTGAATCAAAGGAGTCTGCTAGGATGGTGGAGTTCACTGATCAATTTCAAGATTTTGATATTTTGGGTGGAAAATTAGATTCAGAAAGTAGCTTAAACAAAGTTATCCCATTATACCAAAGAATATTATCAGCTTTGATTGTAGAAGATGAAATTGAAGAATTTGAAGAAAATGACATGGGAAGAAATGATTCACTTCAATATGCTCCAAATGATATGCGTTGTGATGCTGAACCCGGAAAGAGGGATAGAATAGAATTTGAATGTGAGTCAACAGTTGGTGCTCAAACTTGGAAACAATGTGCTGGAAACAGATTTTTTTCTTGTAATGGGAGTAATACGCCTTGTAGAAGCCCAGGTGCACGGTATATTCCACAGAATGATGAACTGTTGCAAGGAGAAAGTGGATTTGAGCATTTGGATGTTGGGGTGTTGTCTGGGCCTTTGGGTAATGATCTGGATGGGCCACAAATTGTGCAAACCAATGGTTTCAGCATATCTTCCTCTGATAGCCAATATGAGAAAATGTGTATGGAAGAGAAACTCTTGCTGGAGCTGCAGAGTATTGGCATATATCTCGACAGAGTGGTATGTTTTACTTATATGGTAGATGATGCTTATTTGTATGGTGTTTCTCATCTTTCAATAGAAGGGCTCAACACCATTTGGTTCTATGAAGCATGGATACAACATGATGTGTATGTATTGACGTAGCAATTTACAAGAAGTTACTCGTACACGACGGGGACACCATAATAAATCTTAATATGTATATATATATATAAACAAACAAATTATTCATTTTTTAGATTGAAAAAATAAACTAAAATTTTAAAATGAAAATTAAACTCTTTAGTGTGTGTGGTGCACCACGGTTAATTCAAGGGTTTTCTCCAATCCGATAGCCCCAAGGAATTGTTAGCCCCTTAGACCCAAGGCTTTGCCACCAGATCAACTCCTTGGCGTTTGTTGGACACGGCTCCCTTATAGGCCTGTACTTGCTTCCTAGCTTTTTTTTTCCTTCTTTTTTTCTTCATTTGCTTCTTTTCTTCTTTGTAAAAGCTCCTTTGGGGATTGTGTTGTGGGAGGCATGCTTACATTGTCAAACATTTGTGAGTTAAATGGCAAAGTGTCTTTTCTGAATCACAGCATTATAATTTTGCAGCCGGCTTTTACTTTCTGCCAACATCTATAATTGTATTTTTTCTTTTACTTCTTTATTTAAAAAATAAATAAATCTCATTCCCACCCTTCTTTTATGAATTTTGCTACAGCCCGATTTAGATGACAGAGAGGATGAAGCTATCAATCAAGAAATTATTCAGCTGAAGAAGGGAATTCACCAACAGGTTAGTGTGCAGCACTTGCATCAAAGAATATCTCCCTTTTCTCAACTATATTTTACAGTATTTTTCAAGCAAAGTTCGTTAGTCCAAGCAAAATTGTTGCAACCTTGTTTGAACATTTTTCTTCTTACATATCTATCTGTCTCACTTGTAGCGTTGACATGCTCTGTTCTTTTTTTTTTGGGTGAATAAGCTCTGTTCTTAATATATGAATATATATATTTTTTCTGTACTGATTCCATAGGTTGGTAAAAAGAAGGCATGCTTAGATAAAGTGTATAAAGCAATTCAGAAAGGAAGGAGGCAGAAGCACGGTAATACTCAATATTTGAACATCTTTCTTGCAGTAGTCTTTTAAGCTTTTCATGATGAACTTCAAATTTCAAAATTGTTTGTTCAAATCTTCTTGAGATGAATACGTTGTGGTCATTGCGCAGGGAACTTGATCAAGTTGCAATGGATAGACTTGTGGAGTTGGCTTACAAAAAGCTTTTGGTAATTATTTCATTTCTTTGCCAATCCTCTGTTTGCTCATTCTTGAAGTGATATTGTTTGGCAATATACTTTATAGTGGATGGTTGCTACTACATATTTTAGTAGCAGGGGAAGCATAATGCAGAAATGATGCAAATGATCTCCTACAATTTGTTTTGTTAGAGTTTGTTATCCACCACTAAATTGTGTTACTTTCTATTACTAAACCATCCCTCCCTTCCTCATTCTGTGTAGTCTGTGAAATCATGTTAAAAAAGCCCTTGTAGTTATTATTTATACTGCTGTAAGGATCGTTAACATTATATGAGCATGTTTTTTCCTCCAGTAAGCAGGGGGTGGTTATGTAACATAGCTTGACCAAAGCTTCTATTTTTCTAATTACCACTCTTGTGCCTTTATTTCACGTTAACCACACAGATGAGGCTGTCTGGATTTATTTACCAATTTATTTCGAAAAAGAAGCGAGTATTTTACTTTTTTTTGTGTGATGTGCTGTAGTTGTTCTAGTAGTTGGATGTTTGATTTGTTGGGTTGCTGTAGATTTTAAACCATGAATTGTTTCTGTGACTAAATTTGACAGGCCACTAGAGGAAGTATTGCTTCTAAATGGGGAATTGCTAAGGTGTCAAAGCAAGTTGGTTTGGCTTTTGCAAGGAGGACTCTTGCTAGATGTCGGGCATTTGAAGATTCAGGAACGAGTTGCTTTAATGAACCTTCACTTAAGGATGCACTTTTTGCTGCACCTTGTCAGGGTAATAAGGCAGAACCTTCTACTTGCCTGGGAGTTGGTAATAATAAACTTCCTCTTGTAACCCTGTGCCATACCCCAGGGCACTTTTAAGTAAATGTTATTTTATTACAACGAATTGCCTTAGTAGTTTTATGTTGATTCTCTTAACAAAAATTGCATATTTTGAGCAAATTTTCTGCTCTCAATTTTTTTCTTGGACGATAAGAGGAAGTGCTTGGCTGGGGGGACATTTATATTGGCAGAAAACTGTAGATCTTTTTCTTTGTTCCTATAAGATGTCTCCTGACACTACTGGATTATTGGATGTTTATTTTATCTTCCTCCATCTCAGCTTGTATTTAATGAGTGTGCTTTCTCTACTTACAGGATCCTTCCACAGCAGTGCCGAGCAGCATGTTCTTCATAGGGGTTCATTAGATGCATTTGACAATTTTACTCATCAATCTAATCAAGTATTTGCCAAGAACGGACCAATATCGAACAGAGGGAAGAAGAAGGAAGTATTGCTCGATGATGTTGGTGGCAGTGCTGCCTTGAGACCACCATCGACCCTAGCTAGCTCTCTTTTGGGTGGGGCGAAGGGTTTGCCGCCAGATCAACTCCTTGGGACAAAGATGTTTCAAGCAGAAATACTGTAGCCAAAGCTGGTCGTCCATCATTGAGTAACTTTAGGGGTGATCGGAAATCGAAAGCAAAGCCCAAGCAGAAGACAGCTCAGCTATCAACATCAGGAAATGGATTTAACAAATTTACTGAAACAACACATCCTGTGTACCCCTCATCTACTGGTTCTCGTGATTTGGTTACTAATGGTGGCAACAATAAAAGAGAGGTCAAGGGAACCATTTCTCAGGATTCACCAAAGGAGACCAATGAAGCAATGGACTTCACTAATTTTCCGATGCCTGAATTAGACTCAATAGACGAATTAGGTGTAGGGGCTGACCTCGGAGGGCATCATGATCTCATGTCTTTGTTGAACTTTGATGAAGATGGTTTACAAGACCTTGAATTAGAGGGACTTGCAATACCTATGGATGACATTTCGGAGTTGAATATGTTTTGATGATGGCAGTACATTGTACATTCTTGTGGATTATTTAACTCTTTAGATAAGAACAACTGTTTTATTTGGGGAGGGGATAGCTACTTATCAATTTTCTCAGGCCAATTAGCACTTGTAATTATGGCCATTCTTTTTGTATACTTCTTACAGAAGTCAATTAAAAATTCTCATTGTTCATGTGATCCAGACAATTCCTAATCATAGTTAATTACAATCTCTTTGAGAGCCTCTCTTGTTATTCTCTTTTCTTATTTCTAGTCGTACTAGCTTCCTAGGAGCTTCACTTTTATGACAGAATATTGGGGTCTATTGTGGATTGGTTGGTCTTCTGTTGTATTTGTTTAATATTTTGAGGCTTTTATGCGTTTACTCTACTTTTTGGCCGTGCGTGCAAGTGTTGACCTTTGTTGGAATTTTGCTGATAACTGATAAAGTCAACTCTGATGCTAATATTGCATTTGAATATTAGGATGCAATTCACAAGTATATAATCTTTGTACTAAGATTTCTCTTTTCAGTTTTCTTTGTTTCCTTCCACCATTGAGCTAGCTTATTGTGAAGACTTCATCAGATCTAGACTCGTACGAGATCACCTCTTGGAGCATTTGTTTTTGATGCTATGAGATTTTGGGCCCTGAATATGAGTGGGGCTTTGAATTCTATTTTTGATATTCGTCTTAAAGAGCTTTGAGGTGTGCTGATGGAATCTCTCTGAAGGTATGTTAAATTCTTTATTTTTCGTTACTCTGTTTCAACTTGTAAACTGAAATCAAGGACATCTCTCCATCTAGTGTTTGAATCATCATTTAGAACTTTTAGTCAAGTTTTGACACGTGCATTGGGATTTGGAAATGGTAAGAGTGAGATGTTTCTGTTTTGCGGCAACTCTTCCTCCCCCTTCCTTCCTATTGATAAAAATGCAGTAGGTATAGCAGTTTCTCTTAGCATGTGCAGGTAGGTATATATATGTTAAATTCAAGCTATTATGCGTCACAACTATTACTCTCTCTCTAATTGATAGATGCAGTATATATTTTACATTGTTGCCTTGACATATGGTTTGAATTTGTTGTTTATCTGTGTTTTAGTCATTGGGAATCCGCTAGTGCTGATGATCGTGGACTTGTGATGCAAATTTCAAGTCTCAACTCCAGGTAGGCAATCCGTCTAGCTCTTTCCACATTTTGGTTTCTTGTCTTGAAAAAAGGAAAGAAAAGAAAAAGACACTTCTGCAACTTTTTCTGCCCCTCCTTGCCAATTCTTAGGCCAAACTAGGGATTCAATGCCAATTGTCAGCATAGTTAATATCTGTAGGTCATCTTAAGAAGGTTTCGTAGACACTATATCAGCGATTGAAATTATTTTTGCCCTTACTTTGTGCTTGTGGTCATATATTTTTGGGATGATACCGATGAAGGATGTAAGAAGTTTTATCAGATAAATTTAGGGGCATTTATACACCATTTCTAATTTATGAACTTGTATTTTATTAAGTTCCAACTAAGATTTTTTGAATCTTTAAGTCCCATTAAATTTTTAATAGTTGAAATTGCCTTTCAAACAATGATTGTTCATCATTTATGATTATCTATAAAAAAAATATGATGATTTGACATTTATTTTGATTTTCAAAACTTTAAAACATCAACTTTCAAATTGAAAAAATAATAATTTTTTTTTTTTGTAAAAAATAAAAAATAAAAAAATTTGAATGTTTGTTTTCTTGAAAAATTGAATTATTTTTTCGTGCAAAATTAAAAATTTTGTTTATAAAAAAGTATGGTGATGGAATATTGATGTGGAAAATTGAAAAAAAAAAAACACTTTAAAAATGAAAAGACTGATAATGTTCTCAGTTTTAAAACTGAAAAAAATTGATAATCTTTTCGATTTTATTAGATAGTTGAATCAAACCAATAAATAGAAGGGCAAAAACGTTTAATCTTATGTTTTTTTTTTTTTTTTTTTTTTTTATCATTAGTGAAATAATTATCCAGAACATTACTATGTAAAATTGATAATGTTCTTGGTTTTAAAAATTAGAAAAAAGTTGATAATATTATCAGTTTTACTAAATAGGACTTGCTGATTCAAAATTTTTTAGATAGAACTTATGGTACTATAACATTCGTAAATAAGATTTTTAGATAATTAACTCATCTTATAAGAGTAAGCCAACAATATGTATTCAGAGGCGTACTGTGACACCCGAGTTTTCTTTTGTTAAATTTAAAATTTGTAATAAATAGAACTCAAAAAAAAAAAATCAATAAATAAAAATAAAAATAAATAGATGCATAATTTAGGAAATTGAGAATTTATCGATTAAATTGTTAAAGAAATAAATTGTAAGACACCACACGTTGAATATTTTAAAAAGTGGTAAGTGATGTTTTATAGTTTGGTAGTGACATTTTTAAACGTGAACTTAGCGTATAATCATAAAGTAATTTTAGGAATTGTGACTTTCAAAATTAGAATAACATAATAAAAAAAATAAAAAAAACAAAGAAAAAAAGAAGAAGAAGGGGAACCTTCGGTGGGCCAAGGGACATCTTGACCCTTGGTGAGTTCATGAGTCAAAGGCAAAGCCAAACAGATGGCCTAAATAGAAGCCTCTATGTACGGGGGCATGAGAGGAAATAGCAACGTGTGTAATAGTTGGCTTGGGCCTCACACTTTATTTAGGGATAAATAGGGAAGTGAAGTTGGTTGGCGAAGTACAGAAGCAAAGTAAGCGTAAGGAGCATAGCAAGTGTGGCTCCGAAGTGCGAGGAACAGGGATAAATTTATACTAGATGTGAGTTTTTATTATATATTGAGTTATTATAATATGTTTTCTATATGTCTTAAGTTACCATAATATATTTTCTATATGTCTTAAGTTACCATAATATATTATACGAATATTTTGAGTTACCATAATTTATTTTATATAATTTATGTTTTATGGTTAGGTATAATTTATGTTTTATGGTTAGGTTAATGTTTCAACTACGTGGATTATTTTTTAAACTCTAATTGCTTAAATTAAAACCCATGGATATGTTTGTTTAAATTGTAGAGATTATTTGGCAGTGATCTTGTAAACAATTATTTTCTGTAAGTACCATCACGGGAGTTTCATGCCTTAGGGGACTTAAATAACCATAGGCCCCTCTTTGACCAATTTGTGGTCTCCTATTTGTCATGGATCTATTGATCCCTGTCCTGATTGTCACTTCAGTGACCCTGTTCTGTTCTGTTTTGTACCGTGGTTAAAGTTATTTATTTCAATTTCTGCCACTTAAATAATTTGTGTATTCAACTCAAATTATGTTAATGTTTTAATTTAAATATGCTATGTGCTTATAGCTGTTAGTCCTTTTAGGTGACGAGATTTAGCAGGATCAAGATGGGGAATGAATCGTTGTGTTTTTTTTTTATATTTCTTTTTAAGATTTCAATTTGTTTTGTTTTTATCGGACTCTTGTAATACAATAAAGTTCCAATGACTATGTTTTGTTTCCTTTTAATAAACATTTGGTACCCAATTATTTTATTTTAACTTATTTAATTTATCCGCTTGCGCTATGATTACAAAATTATTTGAATTATTTTATGTTTATCTTGTTACGACGCCGAGCCTTGGGTATCGGGTTTGGGTCGTGACACGTACCCCGACCTGTGCAACACGGCGGTGGAGCAATTCAAAGAGTCTGTCGAATTCCAGATAGCCATCGACGCCGCAGTGGCCAGGAACTTGGCGAGGGAGGGGGATGGGAGGGCTGGGCCGTCAGGAGCGGCCGCTGGAAGTAGGAGTGAGGAGGAAGTGATCCAAAGCTTCCAGCGGTCGGACTTCTACAAGCACAAGATGACTAAGTTCTGGGATAGCGGTTGAAAGACCTTTAAATATAAAGCGGAAGAGCTGTTCCCAGACATGGATTTTAGCCGCGTAAGGATAGACGAAGACGATGTTGTCCAGACCCCCCTAGACGAAGGGCTTGAGGAGGAGGATCTGGCCTCTAGTGAGGAGGAGTGATCCATGTAAAACTTTTGTGTTTGTGTGTTTTGTTTATTTTTTGTTTTGTGTAATTTCTGTAGTGAATTGTATGTGATTGGAAGTTTGTAAATAAAACAACAAGTTGTGATTAGAAGTTTGTAATTTCTATTGTTGTTAGTTCTTGTGAGTTGTAGATTTCAAAATAATGAAAATGATAGAGCAGAATTTAATGAAAAATGGGTGCAAAAGTAAGACTTGTGCATGAATTGTGAGACTTGCTAATAGGTTGGGATGTAAGAAGTTTAGAAATTGGCAGCCATTCTAACTTGTGAGAAAATCATGACGCAAAAAAGGTTAAAAAATGGGCATAACATCGTAGTATGGACCTAGGCAGCTAGCCTAGCTTGTTAAGAGTGTTAGAAATGAAAAATAGGCTTGGACGACTATGAGCTTTGGATTTTAAAAGAATTAAAGATGTAAAGTTAAAACTGTAAAGAATGTTAAAAGACGTCGTAATATAGACCTGGATT